GACCGTGCAAGTGTGCGCCGCCCCCAGGCCCAGCCCCGCCAGTGGCTGCTCAGGAGCAAAGAGGTGAGCATGGCGCACAGTGAGAGCGCGGGGAGGTCAGTCGTTCTCTCCCTGCCGCTGTCCTCAGGGCAGATGGTCCTGCCTCTCCAGCACCTCCCACCGCCAGCCCACGATGTAGCACTGCTCCGGTCGTCTGAGGGGACGCTCGCTCTCTGCAAAGGCCCAGGGACGCGGGGCTCCAAGGCTCCCTGCGTGCCCGATGCCAGGCCGATCCCCGTGTCGGGGGCTGCAGACCCACGTCCTCGTCTGCACACTGTGGTTGGCTGTGCCGGTCTGGCCTGCAGGGGATGGGGGACTTACTGCGGACCAGGACCTTGGCAAAGGAGGAGGCCTGGCCGTGGGCATTCTTCACCATCACGGTGTAGGTGGCCGAGTCCTCAGCGGTGCACCTGGGAAGGAGAGCGGGACGAGTTTCCCGAGACGCCGGGACCGTGGGGTGTGCAAGGCCCACTGGGGAGGGAACGGCTGGGATTAGAGGGAAGTCTCAGGGTGCGGGGGAGGCTTCGGGCACCACCTCTGAGGAGCTGTGTGTCTCTGGGTGGGCCACTGCACGCTCCGGTGTTCTCCTCTGAAGAACCGGGGGCGCGGGGGGTGGGGGGGTGTACACCACCTAACCCACCACAGGGGGCAGTGCTGTGAAATGTTATGTGCTGCGCTGCGTTGTTACTCACTCTGGAGGGTCAGAGAGGTTAAGTGACTTGCCTAGGGTCACACAGCCACTGGAATTTAACTCGGCTCCAAACCAGAGTCCTGGTGCAAGAGCCCGCCCTCCCCTTTCGCACAGAGCAGCCGACAGACCTGCTGCGGGCACACTGTCAGCCCTAGGCCGGGTGCCCAGGTGTTCTAGGTCTCCCCACTGGCCAGGCCACACCTGTCGTGTTCCCAGCAGGAGCCTGGACTGACTCCATCCCAGGTCTCCCGGGTGACGAAGTGCCGGGACAGGGCACACAGGCAGGGAGGTCGCTTGGTGCCTCCTCGTGTCGCCTGGTTGCTCAGGGTGGGCTCCCGCCTGCTTCCCGATGTTCCCTAGCCCTGCGTGCCCTCGCTGGCTGTGCAGCCCCCGGGCACCTCCTACGTGACGTGCCCCTGCCTTGCTTCTGCGGGTGGGGTCACTGTTGAACCTCCACGGTCTCTGAGGCCCATGGAGGCCGTTGGGGTGGGTGTATTGGGAAGACCGAGACGTGGCCCAGTCTGGCCCTGCCCTGCCGCAGTGCACTGAGCCCGCGGCTCTCCTGAGACCCAGGGCCGTGGTGCTGCCCTGAGCGTGGGGTGGGGATGAGCGCTCTGCGTGGGCGCTGAGCACAGGGCGGGCACTGGG